CGCGGCCCAGGGCGGGGCGGGGCCGGTCGCGCGCGTCTGCGCCTGCGCCCGCCCCCGCGCCTGCGCGCTGCAGCCCGAGAGCGGCGTCCGCGGCGCGGGCCTGCCCCGGCCGGAACCGGAGCGCGATGGCCGGCCGCGGGGGTGGAGCCCGGCGCAGCGGGCTTCCGGGGTCGGCGCGGCGCCGGACGTCGTCCTCCCGTAGTCCTCCAGTTTGCACTATATTCTCTCATTCTGCGTAGGCACTGTAGCGGGCCGGCCGGGGTGGGGAAGGACCCCTGACCTCTAACCCCGGACACACATCGATTCCGTCTGCCTTCACAGAAGGCGGACTTGGACTTGCGTCCTAGGGCGGTGCCCGGGTGGGGCTTGTGCCCGGTTGGGAGGGGTGCCCCGGTTGGGGCTGCATCCGGTTAGAGAGAATGGCCCAGCTCGGGGGTGGGGGTGCTTCGGTTATGAGGTGTGCCTGGCGGGGGGCGATGTCTTGACTGAGAAAGCTGCCCTGAGGCGGGAGGGGGGATGTCCCTTTGGGGAGGATTGCCTGCGTTGGCGGTGCTCCAGTTGGGGGAGGTGCCCCAGTTAGAGGGACTGCCCCAACGCTGGGGTGCTCGGCTGGGAGCATGTCCGGACTGTCGGGGAGGATGCCCTGATTAGGGAAGGTGCCCCGCTAGGAGGCTGTGCCCTGGCTGGGGACAGTGTCCTGGTTGGGAAGTGTGGGTAGGGTGGGGAATGTCCAAGGCGGAGGATTGTCCCTGTTGGGGGCGGGGGGGGGCGCTCTGGTTAGGGAAGATGCCAGGCTTGCCGGGGGTGGTGTGCTCCAGTTAGGAGGTGGCCCCAGTTGGGCAGCCTCTCGGGTCACCCCAGCCTTCTGCAAGCCCCCCAGTTATGCACAGGGCGAGACCTTTCCTGCATATCAAGCAGCCTTCACTGAACAGCCCACGTAGACTGCTTTAGGCCACCCACTCCCCGTAGCCAGACGTGTTTCTGCCATCCCCTGGGAGTTGAGAAAAGCAGCATAGACTGAAATTGGGGTTCTCTGGCCAGTCTTCACAACAGGAACTGGGGAGGCCCTGAGTCAAACGGTAATCTGGGCCTCACTCCTGTGCGGGTTCAATCTCGTGGAACATGAGACTCCAGGAAAATTCCACTAAGTGCACTGACGGTGCACTCAGCTGCAGAGGAGGCAGTGGACGATCCTAAGTACCAAGGAAGACTTCCCAGGTTTGGGGGGACAGCCTGAGTCAGCTCCTGACAGGCCAGGAACCCCAAGCTCTGTCTGGAGCCTCAGGACGGGAGGCTCAGGAGCGGTCTTGCTTAACAGCCTGCACAGCTCCACCAGCTTTCACCCGCACCTACTTCTCTGGCACCAGCCTTTCTCTCTCCACTCTTGCCTTGGGCCCTAGTTTGCCCCTACTCTGAAACACTTATATCTCAGGTATCTGTGTGGCTCACTTCTTGACAATCCTTGGGTCTTAAATACCACCTCTTCAGGGAAATGTCCGCTTGCCCCTATTTAAAAACAATACTGCACCCCAAAACTTCCTTGCTTTCTTTTACTCCATAGCATTCCATTGCCATATTGCCTGTCAGCCCCACTAAGTCCAAAAAGTAAGGGATTTTTGTTTTGTGTGCCCTAGTACCTGGAACAATGTTTGGCATGCAGGAGACAAAATATTTGTTGAAGGAATAGATGAGTTAAGATGTGAAAAAAAGTCCTTCATTAGGCAAAGACCGACTGTAAATGAATGTGTCAGAAGTAGGTGATGTTCCCATTCTGCACCATCAGCCCGACCCACCCTATGCTGGTATTGTCGCCGACCAATGATGTTAGGTGCTCTTCTCGGCACATGATGTGTTACGTGTTGACTCAGTGACCGTCAGGTCAGTCCTGGGAGGTGGACGTCGTTTTCATCCACATTCTGTAAGTAAGCAAACCAAAGCAGGGGTGTGCCTTCAAGGCCACACACTGTCGGGAGGCAGAGATGGGATTTGAAACAGGCAGAGTCTCAACTATGAGGCTACAGCTTCTAGTAGATGTTTCACAGGTTATCCTTCTTGTGGCATGCTTTGTGTTTTTGTCCAATATTCATCCTTTCCTTGTCCCACAAATAGTAAAGTTTTAGGGTACATGGCTGCCTGTACAGTTCCAACTGTAAAGGGTGGCCAGTGGGATGTGTGCAAAAGTGATACTATTTACTTCTCAGCGTGAGAAGCAGCATCCCTCAGAGCCAGACGTGGCAGTGGTGACGGCAGGGGCAGGAGACTTGAGGCCAAGGGTAAAGGAACTGGGGAAGCCTGCTCCCTCCCCCCGACCGGATTTCGTCTGGCACACGAAGTCTAAACTGCGTAGCCTGGAGTGGTGGGTGCCAGACGGCTAGCCCAAGATGTATGCTAACAAAATGGAACAGCGGTGGTCTTCTCCCTCTGTCACAAGGCCACTTAAGTTGATGCTGAGGCTCCAAACACGCAAGCCCGCCTCCGAGGGCAAATCCTGAAGCCGAACCGGGAGGCCAAGCGCCTGGCCCGGGCCTGGTTAACCGCCACGGACGATTCCCAAAGCTGGTTCTGCTCCCTGCCCGGATCGCTCCCCCGCCCCCCCCCACCTTCCGGTCCAAGACGCCCGGAAGGAGGAGGGACCCAGAGCGGAAGGGGGTGGGGTGGGTGGGGGGAAAACGACGGCAAGGGGCGGGGCCGAGGAGAGGGGCGTGCCCCGCAGGGAAAGGCGGGGCTGAAAGGGGCGTGCCCCGAAGAGGGCGTGTCGTGCATGGATGGGCTAGGCTGAGGGGCGTGCCCTATAGGGAGGGGAGGGGCTGAGAAGCCCGGGGGCTTGGGCACACCCACAACAGCCACTACCCGAACACGCACACACACCCGGCAGAGGAGGGCGTCCCACAGGCCACTGTGCCCAGCTCTACAAATGAAGCTTTTTATTTACACCAAGTCTCTCTAGGCCCCAACCCCCGGGGAGAGGCCGACTACAGGGGGGCTGCGGAGGCTGGTCGGGGCAGAAGCTGGTCCGGAGGCAGAGGCCGCAGGGAACGGCGGGCAGCGGCGGGTCCTGAGTGGGCCGGGCCAGGCCGGGAGCGAAGGCACGAGGCCCTGGGAGCCTAGTCCCAGGGCGTAGGTCCGCCCGTCCGGAGAAGGCGACATGGGGTCAGCTCCCTGGGGTTAGGCCAGGGTCCACACCGCCACAGCTCTGCTCATAGGATGGCGGGGCCTCTGCAGGGAGAGAGCCAGGTCTGCATGGGGCCTGTGGCTCCCCCTCCCTGCCAGGCCCCAGGCCCCCACTCACCATAGGGGTAGCCCCACGAGCTATACTCAGGCGGGAGGATCAAGGTACTGGTCGTGGGCACCGGCCCTCCAGAACCCTCTGCAAAGTAGGGCACGGTGGCACCTGTGGAGATGCACAAGGGAGGGGGCAACGGGTGGGGGGCAGGGCTACCATCCTGAGGATGGGGTTCAGGGGCGCCAGGCACAGAGCCGAGGGCTGCAGGCGGCTGCTGCTGCTGTGAGTGGCTCTTGGTGGAGAGGGAGACAGGGTCCGAGAAGAAGTGGGGGCCACCAGCCACAGCCTCCGCCTCCTCCTGGGGTGGCGCTGAGGGCACCACCAGGCCTTGGCCTGGCCGGGGGCTCAGTGGGACGTGGTTCACAGCGATGTTGCCGATGAAGACCGGGAGGGTCACGATGGCTTCCGGCGTCTTCAGGGAGACCTGGGGAGGTTATGCGAGTGAGGAGCCAGGCCACCGGCCCCTCCTCCCACCCCACCCCTGTATCCCTACCACCTGCAGGTAGTAGTCCACATGGATGAGGCTGCAGCCCGGCAGGGCGGACTGGGGCAGGGCAGGCACCAGGATCTGCTCTTGCCACTGAGCCCGCCTCCAGGCCTTGACGCCGGCGCCCTCCACCTCGGCGATGGTCCGCACGTCATAAATCCAGCGCTTGGCCTTGTAGGACACTTTCTGGGGAAGGGCCAGCCTGTGAGCCTGGGCAGGCCAGCCACCTACCCCTCCTCTGCCCCGTGGGGACAGGGCCCAGCAGGCGAGGGGACTCTGACCTGCAGCAGACTGGCCACCACAGGGCTGGTGTCCTTGCCTGACTGGTTCTCAATGTCAGCCTGCAGCCGCAGCACCTGCCCCACCACGTAGCCTCGGAGGTCGGTGCTGGCGGTGAGGACTACGCTGCCTGTCTTCACCAGCT